GATGAATATATGTTTAAACGTATGTGTATATGTGAATGTATATCATTTTCCCTCACGACGGGTATATATACTTATAACACATTCATATATCGCGGTTAGCAACCACAACATGTATATATATATATATATATATATACAGACAAACAACACATGACATGCATACATACGATATTAACACATAAAAATATGTACATATAACACATAAAAATGAGAAAATAGGAAAAATAGAAAAATCCCTCGCTGATCCCTCGCAAATCAGCGAGGGATCAGCGAGGGAAATGAAAAAAATTCACATTCCCTCGCTGATCCCTCGCTGATTTGCGAGGGATCAGCGAGGGAATTATTCCCTCGCAGATCAGCGAGAGATCAGCGAGGGAATGTGTTTTTTGTCATTTCCCTCGCTCAGCGAGGGATCAGCGAGGGAATTATTCCCTCGCAGATCAGCGAGAGATCAGCGAGGGAATGTGTTTTTTGTCATTTCCCTCGCTGATCCCTCGCTGATCTGCGAGGGAAAATTTCCCTCGCTGATAGTCGTCGCTGATACCTGGTTTTCTAGTAGTGTGATACGATCATCGAACAAATTATCATATGTGATAAAAATTTATAATCATGTTGTTACAGATTTATTTTTGTGATGAAATCGGTTCACTAAAAACTGTTAGAAATCGGTTTGGAAAACAAACTCCATCCCGATTTATTAGGGACTACAACCAAAGTTACAAATAATGCTACCATTTTTAACTGAATTTAGTAATACGAGATAATTACATAAATATTAAAGATTACTCAAAATGGGAAATATAAAGCAAAATATGGATGGCATATAACAACCTACTAATCTAAAGCAAAACTAGGTTAAGATTAACATCGAGTGTCACTACGATCTCCAAAAAAAACTCTATTCAATATGTGACACTAAATATCTTCAAAACTAGTATCTCCAAAATGCCCTTATCGATAGGCATAGCTCTACTCAAGCCTTAGTGACCCCACCATACATGTCATTTAAGAAAAAGTGTTAAGCTTAACGCCTATTGAGATCAAATAGTTTTTAGATATCATAAAACCGGAAATATAATGATTAAACGAGTGAAAGCTTCAAGTAATTCCAACGTAAGGCTATAAAGTCAATAATACGTCTTTGGACAACGGGGAGACCCGATTTCTATTGATCGTGGCAGAGCACAAAAACATGACATGAGTCTATGTTCTAGAGCTTTTATTACAGAACATTGGTCATTGAGTTCAACCACCAACGGTCTAAAGTTCGAGTCCTCCAATGAACTAAGATATGTACATTTGTTAGAATTAAATTGTAACATGTCATTCGGTCATCAAGTTCAACACCGTGATCTATACCTTGAGTCCTTCCGTGATTCAATATTTTAATTTCATTAATTCATTTTTATTTCTGTCAAAATGTTTACTTTCATCCAAAAATTGACTCCAGTTTTTTATCTTGTTTTCCTTGCAGATATTCGTATCTAGCTAACTCATGGGAACAATTATCTCATCTTATATATATAAATCGACTTTTATGCTTATGGATCCATTATATTATAGTCTAAGCATATCGTTGCTTTAAACAATTAACTATGATCAAACTTGTAGTTTCCATCACATATCATTAGCTCCTTAAATCCAAGATTTAACCAAAAATGGTACAACGCTTCATAACATTAAGGGGCCGTTTACCAAACACTTATCCGGTAAGTGCTTACCGCTAAAATTTAACACTATTATTTACTTACCGGGTAAGATTTTAGTCCATCAAAAAGACATTGTATGCAACAATTAACCCGGCAAGCGCTTACCGTGGTAAGAGTCGTCGCCCTCACTTGTCAGGTAAGAATACTCTTGATCCTTGTCTCGCTCTTACGGGTAAGATTTTTGGTTCTTACCATATTCATGTAGTAAATATGACTAGGTAAGCATTTGGTAAACAACCCCTAAATAATTGTTAAAACCAAGTATTTAAATCCATATGGTTTCATAGTTCCAAAAACCCAAAGTAATTTTATCTCCAAAGTGTTAAGAACTTCCTTTTTCGAACATAAGATAACTCCTTATGGATCTTTCAAATCAAGCATAAATTTAAATCATGAGTTTTGTATTATCAAATATCATATTAAAGATGATATATCGCTATTATACAAGATCAAAGACGTCATATATCCATTTTGCAGAAAGGGCAAAAACCTCTCAAATCTCCAAAAATACCCAAAATGGCTCTAAACCATAAATATACTAAAATGTGTCAAAGAGAACGTTTAGGAGACTAAAACACAACATTTTGATATTTATAAAGGTTTAGAAAAGTTAAAATGAACTTATATCACTATATTTTGAAGAAAATCTAAAACCCAAGTAAAACAAGGAGGAGGATGAGTTGGTCTTGAATCTCTAGCTTCAAGTCTTTAATCCTAGAGTTTAATGCACTTGAAAGCCTTCTTAAATGTTCAACAACTGCCTTGAAGCTCCTTAAATCGCCATAAATGTAGAGAGATAGATGAGGAGGCGAAATGACTTAAAACACACATATAACACGCCCGTAAATCCTTTGTGCCACCGCCTACTTTCAGTCCACCTCAGTTCATGATACCGCCTACGTCTCAGCAACCATAGTTTCTCGCGCCACCACCTTCTATGGCTCAACTTGGATAGCCCAGTTATTGGCAATTTTGGCCCACTTCTCCAGCCCCACAGCACTCTTCGGCCCAATCGTCATTTAGGGGTCATGTAGCAGCCCAACCAAGTCCACCACAATTTACCGATCTTGCCTCGGTGTTCCACCCTATGTTCGTGCAACAATCACAAGACAAAAACTACTACATTGATTTTGAAGCAAACTCGCACATGTCATTCAATCAAGGTAACATGCTTTCTCTATCACCTTGTAATTCTAAATCCATAATGGTTGGTAATGGTGCTCTACTGCCAGTTACTAGTATTGGCCAAACTTTTTCCTCACTCCAACAATCATCTTGATTTAAATAATGTTATGATTTCCAACCAAATGGTTAAAAATCTCGTGTCGGTTCGTCAGTTCACCATAGACAACTCCGTTTATGTTGAATTTGACCCTTTCGGTTTCTCTGTCAAGGATCTTTAATCAGGTACTATTATTCAACGATATGACATTGCTAGTGATTTGTACTTGATTCTTCCATCTTCCACAGTTGCCCTCTCTGCCACTGTCCGTACCTCCGTGTCGCTTCCTACCTTGCATCAACGTCTTGGCCACCCTAGTTCTTCCATTCTTCAGTTTTTACAGTCTCGTAAATTTATTTCTAGTACTGCAAATAAGTTGTCCAGGTGTCATGCGTGTTAACTTGGCAAACTTAGTCGCTTATCTTTTGTTCCTTCTACTTCAAAAACCTCTCGTTTATTTGAGTCAATTCACTCAGATCTATGGACTTCTCCAGTTGTGAGCATTAGTGGTTATAAAAATTATATCTTATTTTTGGATGATAATTCTCATTTCTTATGGGTTTACATGCTAAATCTGATGTTTTTTCTGTCTTTAAGAATTTTCGTTCGTATATGTTAAACCAATTTAAAACTGACATTCAACTTTTCCGATGTGATAATGGACACGAATTTAATAACCAACCCTTACTTGATTTTTTCAAATCTAATGGTATTAAAATTCGTTTTTCTTGGCCTTACACATCTCAACAAAATGGAAAAGTTAAACGCTCCATTTGCACCATAAAGAATATCATTCGTACTTACATGTTTAGGCATCTCTTCCACCCATGTTTTGGACTGAAGCTCTTCTCACTTCCATTCATACCTTAAATCTTCTACCTACATCTACCCTCTCATTCAAAATGTTGTTTGAAATTCTTTTCGTTTTCTTCCCCTCCTACTCGCATCTTATGGTCTTTGGTTGCCTATGTTATCCTAACACCTCTTCTACTGTTGCTCATAAACTAGCACCTCGCTCGTCTGCATATATATTTCTTGGATCGTCTCCCAACCATCGTGGGTATATATGTCTGGATCTCATCACACGTAAAGTCATTATCTCACGACATGTTGTCTTTGATGAAGATCATTTTCCTTTTTCAGACTTCCATGCTTCTCCCACCACTTCAAACTACAATATCTTCGTATCTAAAGAGGATTCTATTTCCATCTCTCTACCCACTCCCCCGCGTCACCTCTACCGAATCACTGGTCCCTGACACTCTAACACTATCTTCTTCCTCCTTGGTGACCGAACCTCTCCCTCCCTTTCCCACATCTCCTGGTGGTCATTCTATGGTTACACTATCTCGCACGGGGTCTTTAAAGCCTCTTCAGATCCTCAATCTTTTTGCCTCTTCCGAATTCTCTCATATTCCCCGTTCCATTGCTCAGGCAATGTGTGATTCAAACTGGAAGGCTGCCATGGACTCTGAAATGGATGATCTCTCTTCCAATCACATATAAGATCTTGTTCCACGACCTCCACATGCCAACATTTTTGGTTGTCGTTGGTTATATCGTCACAAGGTTGACAGTCATGGTCGCTTAGAAAGATATAAGGGTCGTTTGTTGCACAAGGTTTCTCTTAGCAACCTGGTCTAGACTTTATGACACCTTCAGCCCGATTGTCAAACCTGCCACCATACATACTGTCCTTAGCATTGCCTTTTCTCGGCATTGGCCAATTAATCAACTAGATGTCAAAAACATTTTCCTTCATGGCGATCTTACCGAGGAGTTCTATATGAAACAACCTCCATGTTATGTTCATTCTCAATTTCCTGACCATGTTTATCGTTTTCGTAAAGATTTGTATTCACTCAAGCAAGCTTACCGAGCCTAGTATCTTTGATGTCTACATCTATTCTATTGTCTTTTGTATCAGTCGCTTAGATACCTCTTTCTTTACTTATCACTCTTGTTTAGAAACCATCTACCTTCTACTTTATGTTGATGATATCTTTCTCACAGCCTCCTCTTCTTCTCATATTACCAGGGTCATTGAGCGTTTCTCTTCTGAGTTCTCTATGACTGACCTTGGTGCCCAATCGTTCTTCCTTGGCATTGCCACCAATCGCCATGAAAATGGCCTATTTTTGTCCCAGATCTCCTTTGCCAAGGAGATTATTGCTCGTGCTGACATGGAAACATGTAATCCTTGCAGCACTCTGACGGACACTAAGCCAAAGTTTTCATCGTTAGGAGAGCTTGTTGTTGATCCTACCTTATATGGAAGCCTTGCAGGGGCGCTGGGATATCTAATCCTCACTCGTCCTAATATTGCATATGTGGTCCAACAAATTTGCCTTTATATGCATGATCTTCGTGAACCGCACTTTCTTGCCCTAAAGGGTATTCTCCGTTACCTACAGGGTGTGCTCTCACATGGTCTTCATATTTGTCAGTCATCCATTGATAGGTTGGTTTCTTATTCCGATGTTGACTAGACTGGATGTCCTCAAACACGTCGGTCGACCTCTAGGTTTTGTGTCTTCCTTGGTGACAATCTTGTCTTGTGGTCTTCCAAACGTCAACATATTGTCTCATGTTCGAGCGCTAAAGCTAAGTACAGGGAGGTAGCCAATGTCGTTGTTGAAGCTGATTGGCTTTGCAACATTCTTCTTGAGCTATCTTGTCCTTTTCACGTACGACAATTGTTTTTTGTGACAATGTCAGTGCCATGTACTTATATTCTAACCCAGTTCAGCACCAAAGAACCAAACATGTGGAAATATATTTATTTTTGTAGGGGAACGAGTTGCAATCGGACATGTGCATGTGTTGCCTTCGACTCATCATTTTGTAAATATTTTTACAAAAGGGTTACCGGCACAGTTATATTTAAGTTTAAGCATTCGTCAACTTCCCGCTCAAACTGAGGGGGTGTGTTAAAGCATATATTTTTATATTTCTTCTTTGTTAGATAGGGACCCCCTTTGTAACGTTATATTCTATATATACTAAGCAAAAATATGCAAACCCTAACGGGATTTCCATATATTCCAAAAGAGATATTTGTCATTCTATTCAATATCTATTACATAACTACCAAGAGGTATTTATAACCTCTTATTAGAAGATTTCCTAATTAACCGACTAACATTACTTCCCCCCTTATAACAATCTTGACTTGAAAAAAGTTAACGAATAATAGAGGTTTTCTCAACCCATCCCCTTTGGACTCATCTCTTTATACACATAATGGCATGACACCAATTCAAACTCCATGAAATCCCAAGTTGCAGTATCCAAATTACTGAGCCACTAAATGTGTTGTGCATTTTCCAAGTAAAACCCTTGCATATAGGCTGGCAAACTAGATGATTCCCATCAACAACTGTTACTGCTTGAGTGGAAATAGAATCCATTTGCAATCCTAACTTTTTGGCTACATTAAGGTCCAAAAAATTATGTCTACTACACTGATCAAGCAAAAAGTGAAGTGGTTTATCGGCATAATAACCTCTCACCCTCATTCAAAGCATGGTTCAAGACACAAAGTTATATGTTAGCAACCTCAAAACATTTGAATTTGTTTCAGTTGTTATTTATGTCCCCTTCATACGGTTGATCACAAAAGTAATACAACTTTTTTTTGCCGTTTTTCTCTTCTTTAGGTCATGGATAACGTAGTCTGCGGTTTATGAATCGGTTTAGATGAACCAGGTTGTGTCGGATTTAGTTTGACGCCAGGTGATGGTGTTGGAAGAATTCCAGGCAAAGGTTTAGATAGAGTTTCAGAATTACTAACCATCAAAGACTCATAATGATGGTAGAATCATGCAACTTCAATACTTTCTTCTTGAAGTCTCGCATATTCCACTGCTTGAGATAAGTTTGTAGGCTTAGAATCTCTGAAAAATGGAGCCCACCCACAAAGCTATCAAGAAAGTACGAATCAGGAAACATACATATATGTTGAAGAATAAGAGACCTTAAATTCTCAAACTCATCAATGTAAGATTCAATGGTCCCCGTTTGTAGTAGTAGCTTATTAAAAATTCTCAACAAAATTTTCCCCAATTTCATCTTTGAATCTTGCAGACAAACCAATGATGAACTCTGACCAATCAACATTTCTTCTAACAACAAGATAACTGGTTACCCAATTCTCTACTTTGTCAACCATGTTTAAGGAAGCCAAATCAACCTTCTGATCTTCAGAAACTTTGCAAAGTTTGAAGTACTCATTGCATTTCTTATCCTCATATTAGTTACACTTCTCTTCTTCCATGGATGTACAATGTCACACTACGAATGGATCTCGTAAATCTTGTGTGTCGTTACTTATTTGATTATGTTTTTTTTTCCTTTTATATGCTTGTTAGCACTGTATGCTTAGTTTGTTAGCTAGATACATGTTGTTTTCCGCATTAATTGTTAGGTGTAATCATGTTTTTGGTAATCGTGGGACGCATGATTATCGAACCTAACATCTATACATATAGAAATGAGAAAGATCGAGGCACATTAAACTTGCATCTTTCGTCTCTCATCATTAGAGGAGATCCTACCATGGCACTCTTAAGCGCTTCTAACCGCCTAGCGGCTCCCTAATCAATTAATCAACTATTGTGGTTTCGCTAAATTGGAGAAAAATGGAAACATGTTCTAGAAATTAGGGTTACGCTATACTATTTAACCAAGCTCTTGATCTTGCGAGACTTGGCTTGATCCTTTTCCCCCGTTTTTGCACAATCTTCCCTTTATCTGGATAGGGCTTTTGCCGAGTTTTTAGGCTAAAAAAGGTATACATTTTTCAAATTGAGGGAGTTAAAGTTATTATATTACATACTTTAAGTGTTTTTTTTTTACAAAAGAGCCAACTTTCTCAGGTTTGCTATAAGATGGCGAGAGTTCGTAGACACCCTTTTTTTGTGAGATGAAATTATTCGTCGGTCCCCACTAGAAAACGGGTCATTTGTCATCTTGCATAATAACGAGTTCACAAAATAAGAAGGATTTCACAAATCCTAAGAATATTTCGTACTTTATCCTATAAAATAGTTAAGATACATATGAATAAGTTGAAAATTAATGCATCTCGCAAAAAAAGAAAACTCCATGGCTTTGTTATGGCAGATACGAAGGTCGATTGAAATCTTAATGAGAAAAATAGCAGATATACTTCATTTCAACATGTCTAACCGATTAAACATATGAACGGTTAAAACTCTATTAAGTGAACCAAAAAAAACATACAACCCTAAAATATGTTGGTATCAGATAAGTGTTGTCCGAATTACTTACTTGCATCATCATAATATCCAATAGATTTTTGACTAATATTTTCGAACAATTAACTCGCATTCATGTCATCAATCATCACATCTTAGCAATGAAAAAACAAATAGATATGACATCATCCATCGAGAGGATAGTCAATAAATTCTTTCAAACAGTGACACGCTCTGATCATAACAGTAAAAGATATGATATTGTTAACAAAATCACGATGACATTTTTTTTGATGCAGGAAAAAGGGTGGAAACTCCCGTATGCTGAAAATGGTCTAAAGTTAGAAGAATAGGAATATGTTCTTCCTGAATGCCTACGCTAAGCAATATCTATCAATCCATTAGTGTAGTTTAAGAATATTCTATCATTAAAGGAAAAGTTAAAGTGACCAAAAGCATGAACTTAATGTACAAGCCATGGCAACATCGATCAATCGCAACCGATTTCGAGAAACTACTGAGTAATTCAAGTAGCAAATTTAGAATCACCGATAAAAAGGGCCATGGAGAGAAGTGATTTTTCTTAAAGGAGATTAATTATGGGCAATATTTTATCTCAGATTCGTGGTCATATTGCAGCAAGGAAAAGACCATCGCCACCGCAACCATCGCAGCCACCACCACCACCACCACCACCAAACCTGTCATTAGTTCTTAATCCGAAAGGTCCAAGTAGATCTGGATCTAGAAAATCAAGAAATGGCTCCAAGAACAAGTATGCGTACATCCCGGACAACTATTCTTCGTTAGAACAGGTTCATTCTCCCTATATAAGTTTTGATTCAAGTATTGTATATATATATATATATATATATATATATATTTCTAAAGATCGAGTATTCTATGTGAGAATTGAATACATGGAATCTCATTAGATTACTCTCCAAAAAAGCACTTGACGAGAGAAACGAGGTTCAATCATATATAGAGGAAAAAATTTCCAAGTTAGCTGATATGGAACGCTAACACGTCCCTCCAACAGAGGCTAGACGTGCACAGATTTGTCCCAATGTATTGAGAGGGGATTAAACGGGTACAGATTGTCCCAAAGTGTAGAGTCCCTAAAACAGTAGACATTGGCTCTGAATATTAACTGTGATGCAAAATCCTTATATATTTTTGTTGCAAATGATATACGAACGATGTACGAGTTGGTTTTGGATTTCATTTTTGCAGGTTACACAAGCACTAAGAGAATCTGGATTAGAGTCTTCTAATCTTATCCTTGGAATAGATTTCACCAAGAGTAACGAATGGACAGGTTTTCGTCACTGCTGTACAAGACTTGAGTTCTTTATAGAATCAAACAATTGTGTGCGTCCTACGTAAAAGCGTTCCAATAAGTTTACAAGACACTTTTGAGATAAAGTATCTGATTAATTTTTATACGACAATATTTGAAATTCTCGTAGTTCATACAAAAGCTAATACAACGTCTTATTTTAACAGTGTCGTAAAAACGAACTCGTGATTTGTTGTTGTTGTGATTATTGAAGCTGAATAACAAATCTAATGCCTAGATTTGCTTCTGATAGGTAAAGTTTCATTCAATAATCGTAGCCTTCATGCGATTGGTGATTTTCCAAATCCGTATGAGAAGGCCATATCTATCATCGGACAGACCCTTGCTCCTTTTGATGACGACAATTTGATTCCGTGTTTTGGATTTGGCGATGGTACGTACAGGTTTTCATCACAATTTAGTTTCGAAATGTTTATCGATGATCTAACTTAATGAGCTTATATATCTTTTAATCGAATTCATAGCAACGACACACGATCAGGAGGTGTTTAGCTTTCACGATGATGCTTCCCCTTGTCATGGCTTTGAGGAAGTCTTAACTTGCTACAAAAGGGTTGTTGCAAATGTGCAATTGGCTGGTATATAAATATTTATATATTGGGTTCGTTCAAATAAGAAGACTAAATATCATGAGAAGGGAAGATTCATATGTGAATCGACATCAGAGATTAATCATATGCATTCATATATACATTTTCAAATGGATTTTTTTTCAATGATTCACATATGAACCTTCTTTTAACCTCATTTTCTCACGATATTTAGTCTTTTTAATCATTTGAATATATGCTAATTTGATTTTTTTAAGGTTAAACAAACTACTAATTATAGTTGACAAACTCATGAAACTTGTTTTTGAAGGACCAACATCTTATGCAGCTGTTGTCAACGCAGCCATGGATATAGTAGAGAAAAGTGGAGGTCAATTTCATATTCTAGTCATCATAGCAGATGGCCAGGTTGGTTTTAAAGATTATTATCTTACTACTAGAAGTGTTAAAGACGATTCTAGAATATTCTAGACTGATCTAGACTGATGGAGATGCTTCATGAGTGAAGGTTACAAGAAGTATCAATACAAGTGATGGAGATGTCAGTTTGCAGGAGCAGAAAACCATTAGCTCAATTGTTGAAGCAAGGTATATATATATATGTATAACATAGCTTCATCAATTCATCCCAATCTACTTGGTCAAACTTCTTTAATTGTCCTAAAAGTCAAAACGCATCGATGGATCTAGAATATTCTAGACTAGAATACTAACTCGATCGATTGTTGAAACAAGGTTAAACGCATTGCCAAAAACCACTTATAAAACATTTCTAGATCAGTCTTAACACTCGAATTCGTGATCAAAATTCACTAGTTAGTGCATAATTTCTTGCATCAATTTTACGTATGATGGAATCAGTTTGTATCCTCTCGTGATCGTTCTTGTTGGCGTCGGAGATGGTCCATGGGACGACATGAGAAAGTTCGATGACAAGATTCCTACTCGTGGGTTCGATAATTTTCAGGTAATACAAACACACGATCCCTTACTTTTAACTCAAACTCATTACTTTTCATATCTTCAGATTTTCAAAATATTTAAGATTCCGTCCTTTTATACCTCAAAAGATAAATCATTGCTCTTTTTCCATCTCTAGTTTGTCAATTTTACCGGTATCATGTCAAAAGATTCAAGTCCGCCTCACAAAGAAGCGGCTTTTGCGTTGGCAGCCCTTATGGAGATCCCAATACAATACACGGCTGTCACCGAACTCGGCTTACTTGGGTACGTACATACATACATACATATATATATATATATACATACATACATATATATATATATATATACATACATACATATATATATATATATATACATTCATACATATATATATATATATCATCCGATTTAACTTATATTCTAGTTAATTTTCTCCAACGTTCGATTTCTAGGAAAAGGAACAGTTCCCACAACAAAAGGGATAATTTAATTTCTGTTAGATTTGAATAGATATGATTCTATAACAATGGTTTTAATGCTTGCATTGGCCAAATAAGACGGGTGACTACGAATAGGAAGAGAATAACTCCACGACAACCTCCTCGTCCGAGAGGCCATGCTCATGTTCCTCAAGGAATTACCAACCCGACATCTACAGAAAACGACGAAAACAAGGTTCTATCGCTTCGATTCTCTCACAAGTCAAACTTTATATATACAGAAGATCAATTTTTAGTGTATATATATATATATATATATATTTATATACTTGACTTGTTTCTTTTATGCAACTTTGATGAAGACCTGTCCAATCTGTCTCACAAATGATAAGGATATGGCCTTTGGGTGTGGACATATGGTGAGTCACATTGCTAGCTCCTTTTACCTTTTTGTTGAAGATCGAGGCTGTTAATTTTCGGTAACGAGACTTGTAACAGGCTTGTCGAGAATGCGGATCAAGATTAAGCCGTTGCCATATATGTCGCCAGGAAATCAGCTCCCGGATCAGGCTATATACGGGATGATTGTATAGTCAAGATACATATATAACTACATACAATTAAGAACCAATTTGAATGGAAGTTTGAGATTTCTTGAAAATAAGTTTGAAACATTATTGAATTTTGTGGGTTTCTGATTGAACTGTTGGAAAAATAAGTTCGTAGTTGCGCTGATCACATTTCATGCATCTCTTGGGGTTGTTCGTTTACCTCTTAATAGTTCTATTAAGAGGCAGCCTCTGAATCGTTAAAAAGTGATCTTGTTTGGGAAAAAAATCTTCCTCTTAATGGTTCTTAAATCCTCTGAATGATTTTGCATCATGGGCCTCCCTTGACCATTTTGCACTCTAATTTCAGTGTAAACAATTACCCAACAACTATATTTCATTTTGCACTATATTATGAGAGTCTTTTAATCATTCTGACCACTTAATTATTCTGCACAAAACCATTCAGAAACTACCAAACAGCCTCCTTTAATCCATGATAAATTATGTGTTTTAGACTACCAGCAATGTGTGCTGACAGACGGAGTACATTACCAACAGACTCGTTTCCAACGGATTATTGATGGATATTTCCGTGACGAAGTTTCTTTGTTTTATAAAATATATTTACCGAATGGATTATTCTTTCTCTTAGATTACCAAGGGATATATCCATCAGTAAAAGTTGGTTTTTTAAAGAAAAATATTCGAAGATATTTTTATATCTTGTATTGCAATTTATAATTTCCAAAAGAGTAAGTAATATTAAAAATGGCTAAACAACATACTAAATTACATAAATCCACTTTACAAATATACAATCATCTTCAGATATTGTAATTACGCTTCCGAAGGAAAGATAACGAACTTCAAACACGAACCACAAGGTCGTCTTATTTACAATTGCATGCAAACATCCGCAATTAAGCTCAAAGGCCTCAGTACTATGCTTATCGTATGATAAAAGTATCTTAACACGACAAGTACCACTGGACAAGCAAATCACCTTTAAGGATCCATTCCACTGCCCCTATATTCAATTAAAAGACTAGAAAACCTCTCCAGCATAAGTTCCCAAATCTTCAAAAACTCGTACAAGGATATTGAGTAGACGGTTGATGTATCAGACTCGACCTAATGCCTTGTTGAATAGGTTGAGTTATAGGGAGATTGGCCTTGCAAAAAGGCTAAATAATATGTCTATAGGCAAAGGGAAGGGGGAAGGAAAGTCCATTCAGAGACTTTGTTAGCTCGCTCTTTTCAAGCAGGTTGGAAGCTAGGAAAGATGGTAACGATGTGATATGGTTCCGAAGGATGAACCGGATATGGACAGTTCCAACAAGATTTCATTCTTGAACAAAAATCCATTTGGGGCACCAGCACAAGCAAAAATGGTGGAAAAGTCTATTGTTTGAACCAATGCCTTAAGCCACTCAGCCATACCTAACATCATACAAATAAAGAACTACGAACATCTAGAATCTACTAAATTGGGCATTTTCGTTTATCGACATATATTGTTGGGTCCCACGGGATCCAACGTATGTGTATCACTCTCGTCAGCTACATAGCTCAATAAAACTACATTTAGAAGAGTACTTGCATACATTAAATAACGTAACAACATTTCATTTTCAATAATAAGTCCATAAACTCATGTAAGAGGCTCACGTACATACAATGCAGCAACAATCTTCTACTTATATTGTCACCTTAACAAAGTAAAAAACCTCAATAAAACTCCATAACGAAGGTTCTTATAAAAACCTCAGTTTTTATTTTTTTTAATTTATAAAAAATGTAATTTTATTTAAAGATTAATATATATATATATATATATATATATATACTATGAAATTATAAAGAAAAGTCAAACACAATTATTGATTTTCCCTCTTTTATATTAGTTTTAATTTGTTAATTTATATATTTTATCAATATATTTGAAAAACAATTAAAACATAAACATAATTTTATATTATAATTAAAAAAGTATAAAATTACATAAATATTAATCTTTATAAAAAGTAACACTAAATAATAAATAGTAATATAGATCGCTCGTAATCTCGATTCGACCAAATATGTTCAACCAAGTCACAAGAGAGTTGATAATGAACTTCATGTGAATGCATCTCAGAATTTTATTAAAGATATTCTTGGAATCCGTGAACGTTGAAATATTTGTGTTATATTATCTACCTCCTCAACAAAATAATATATATATATATATATATATATATAATAAGAAACTTAAAAATTAAACTTACTAATACAAAATCTTGTATATTCTATAAGAAACGAAAAATAAAACAAAATAAAAATTATTTTGTAAAAATTAATTTATTTTGTTAATCAATTTTAACTTATGTGTTTTATAATTTATTAAAATAAAATAGTTAAGAAATAATAAAAATAATATATCAAATAATAACAAAAAAAAAACATCTTCAATAGCTTCTCAAAACACAGAAAATCTAAGATTTTTTGAGTTTTTTCTTGCTCCAACAAATTTTCCAAAATAAAAAAAAAGTATGAGAGAGAATGTAATTTTCTTGGAAAATGGGAATTTTTTCAAAAACAACATATTGTTATTTCCAATATAAAGGCATCCAAAAAAACCAATGAAATAAATGGAAATGAGAGAGAAATAACTTTTGTAATATTATTAAATATTTAGTAAATAATTAATGTTGAAATCTTTAAAAATGGAATTTTTTTTTTTTGGAGATTTTGGAGAAATCATGAATAATTTGTTGAAGATGTTATAAAATTTGTAAAATCATTTTAATGTTAATTGGTCGGAAAACACAAAGTTAAAGGTATTTGTTTCCTGTATACATCCCTATAATCACTGAACATCGACACCAAATGATTTTCATTGATCGATAAACCAAGGTTCTTTGCAAAAGTCATAAAATAAATTAAAGCAGTTCAAATGGCAAAAGTTGTAACCATCTGTGTACATAGATTCCACAGATAACCATGCATTAACAACTGAAAACAAACGGTCCACAGTATATAATATGAAAATCCAAACTGAGTTAATGCAAACTTGTTTAACGTAACCCATACGATTTCCGAAGACTTTCAACATCATGTCCATCAAGAGAACTGCCGGGAAAGAGATCCTACAAAAGCAGAACAAAATCTAGATTAGATTAGAGAATGCCAAAAACTTTAAAACGAATAAAATTAAACATGAAATAGTAAAAAAGATTACGTCAAGCGTCTTCTTCATTGTGTTGTTCCTTCTTTTGTTGCTCCTACGCGGCTTTTTCCCCGTAACAGCAAAAATGTCATCTTCAATCTCCTGTTTAGTGAGAGAAATCTCGAACTTTGTCGTATTCGACTTGCCACCTTTCTGTGGGAGAGCCCTCTTTTTTGGCACCTTGAGCTGCTCGTCCTTTGCAGGAGCCCTAGAAATCGGTACAGATGGTTGAACTGATGTTGACGAGTTAATTTCAGAATTAGTTAAGTCAACACAGCCTTTAATCTCGTGAGATTTTGAGTTTGGTGAAGACATTGCTTCTTGAGAGTATCAATTTCTTCAAAGATTGAATGATTTCAAGAGATTATAAAACAATCAAGGAGTTGTTGCAAGAAGGGAAAAACCATGGTAATAAATGTTTAGATATTATGCATTTAATATAAAATCAAGCTAAGATTTCCATTTGAAAATGATTTGACTTTGACCGTTATTAAAATATTTTAATATAATGTTTTTTTAAAATTATATTTTAATATGATTTAATTTAATAAAATAACCTAAAAATATAAATTAAAGAATAACGGAATTCACACTGCTGTATTAGCGCAAGATGGCTCACTTTACTGGACGAAACCTACCAAAAGATGCAAAAAGTTACCTCAAGGTAATGTGGTTTGCGTCGTCTTGGTGCGATTGCACAGCCCGGCGTGAAAGGGTAACTCAGCTGACAAAAAACTGTAAAATTATTAATATGTAGCTGAAATTTTTCCGCTTTGTGTCAGGCGAGTAGGCCCATTCTCTTTGGGTCGTGAAATCGCACCCAGCGGCACGAAACCATGTTAGCGAGAGGCAAGTTTTGGCAAGTTTGGTCAGGTAAGGTGGGCCATCTCGCCTTAATATCCAAGATCATAAAGGGCGATACGAAATATGTGGTTTTTTCAATCTGTATACTTTTAAACTATTTTGTTTAATTAAGTCATATAAAAGGTTGCATTTTTAATTAACCCTTTTTGCAATTGTGGATGTATGTGATGTTTTGTTCAAATGTATATTCATTTTTGCCTATATAAATAATAAGTAATTAAAACTATTTTGTTGAGCATATTAAAAACAGTCGTTATACGTATTTGATATGTAAAGCGATGTGACGTTTAACTTGAACATTACTGTGTCATATAATAAGTATATGATTAATTATCAGATTAAACGAGAAAATTCATATGTAAATAATAATGTTAAACAAACCGACTTTATTGATATCAAATCCTTGTACAATTAATTTTACTCTCCAACACATTAATAATTAATTTTCCAAAAATAACTTTTGGGAATGTTGAATGAGCACAAAAAGAAAATAATTAATTGGTGGATTTGAAATATAATATATATTGCAATATAATTTAAACTATTACATGTTTTTTAATTCATATTCCATCCAAGGAGATTAGTTATGCACAATAGTTAAAAAAATAAAATATGAGCTAAGATGAGAAGTATAAGAAAGGATTTGAACCCTTGATTACTTTTAATTGCAAACCAACTCATGGATTGTGCTTTAAAACGGAATTGATCTGGTGTATCACATTAGTGTTGATCTACTGTTTCTCTTCGTTTAAGATTGATCCAAGTATGAGAATCTCTTATACTCTGATGGCTATAACTTTTATTCTCATCAGAACTCAACTCCTATATTAAAACTGCATTTTGACAAACACAACGATATGCGGTATTTAAAATGATTGGCATTCGCTTTAATTCACTAGCATTTGCCCTTTACATGTTAACACAGCGACAAGAAACGTCAATGCAACATTGGGAAAAGGTTAATT